CTAGCAGCTTAAGTTCTCACCAGAATCCCATATGGGCACTGGTTTGTGTCCTGGCAGCCCTGCTTCCCATCCAGTTCCCTTGCTTGTGCCTGGGAAAGCAGTAGAGGATGGTCCAAGACCTTGGGACCCTGGCACTTGTGTGGGAGACCTGGAGGAAGCTCCCAGCTTCTGGTATCACTTTTTTATTTTAAAGCTTCTTATTTATTTATTATTGTTATTATTATTTTTAATAATCTTACTTTGTTGATTACATTACAAAGAATCAAGGGTTACAGGGTGAAAGTGGATAATACCATTGTTTCCACACTATTATTTTCCACAAAATATTATCATTTCCCGCTGTATCTGGGGTGAGGGGAGTAACAAAGGGAAAAGCCCCACCCAACCTCCCACCCATCCCAGATCCCCAAAGGGAGGTGCACTCCGAGGGTCCTGCTCTAACAGTTTTGATAGTTTATCAGTTCTGGATTGCTGCCAATCTCGCAGTTCCAACCGCAATGAAACCTATTCAGAGTCTACTGGCTCACATAGTCTCTTCATGGCTGGGGTTCTAAGATCAGCAGTTCAGTTGGAGGGATCTCCAAAGAAACTCCATCTGTGGCTTCAGATATCTCATATGAGATCTCACCCCACTGAGATCTCATCTACATCATTGGGCATTGAAGCCTAATTCAGTAACAGCCGATTCTACCTTCTAGCCGACACACACACAGTGGTGGCCACTGCCTGTCCAGCCGGGCCCACCCCCAGTCCTGATTCTCATGCTCACCAATAGGAGCTGCAGCCCACACACAGGAGCCCACAACCTCCCCACTGGACCCACCCCTTGCCCCAGATATTGCACTCTCCGGGTGGTAGTTCTGCAGTCTAGCTCAACAGGATTTGCCAGCTGATACTGCAGCAAAGCCCAACCAGCCTGCCATTATTGTGGCTCATGCCTGTACCAGTGGATACAATCAGACACCCCAGCCTGGCGTTCTCCCTAATACAGTTGGCATGTAGGCCAACAGGTGTTCTAAGCCCTGCCCAGCCTGGTTAGCCCCCAGTTCCAGCTCTCACGTTCCTCAGCGTCATTTTATATTACAGAAACATGTAATTCATGATGGATAGCGCAGCCTCAAGCCTCCACCTGTGGCACCAGCATCCCATATGGGTGCCAGTCAAGTCCTGGTTGTTCCATTTCTGATCCAATTTCCTACTAACACATCGGAAAGTAGCAAAGGATGACCCAAGTGCTTGAGCCCCTGCCACCCATGCGGGGCAGTTGGAGGAAGCTCCTGGCTTTGGACTGGCCCAGCTCTTGGTTGTTGCAGTCATTTGGGGGAGTGAAGTGGTGGATGGAAGATTAATACAAATTAAATAATACTGGAAAAAATGAAGAACAGTTAAAACATGATTTTAAAATATTGTTTTAAAATCTCATTCAGCACACTTAGAGTGAATGAACGGTTCAGTGAGTGTGAACACCACCATAGTCAATTCTTAACAGCATCACCACCCTCAAAAATGCCTTTGTGCTGTCCTGGGTAATAGAATGTTCCCCATACAACCAACTCCAGGAACCCTAAGATCGGCTCTTGAGCCCTAGCATTTTGTCTTTGTTATGACATAAAAATGGAATTCTATATCTGAATCCAGCCTCTTTGCACAGTAAATCTTCTGAGAATCTTCCAGATGTTGCAAATATCAATCACTTCACTTAATTGCCAAGTGGCATTCAACTGTATGGATGGACCACAACTCACCCATTTACCCACTAGACATTTGAGAACTTCCTGTTTGGGGAGGATGCTGCATAAAGCTGTTACATTTACACACAGGATTTTATGTGAATCTGTGTTTTTATTTTTCTTGTGACTCAGGCACTGCTGGATCTCATGGCAAGTTTCAAAATGGTCATTCCATTACTAAACTTAATAATGAGACAATCAGGAAGCTATTACATGGCATCCTTGCTAATATCCTGTAAGGATGCTTTCTAAAAGATGTATTCATTTATTCAAAAGGCAGAGTGAGGGCCCGGCAGCCTAGTGGCTAAAGTCCTCGCCTTGAATGTACCAGAATCCCATATGGATGCCAGTTCTAATCCAGGTGGCTCCGCTTCCCATCCAGCTCCCTGCCTGTAGTCTCGGAAAGCAGTTGAGGACGGCCCAAAGCTTTGGGGTCCTGCACCCGCGTGGGAGACCTGGATGAAGCTTCTGGCTTTGGATCGGTGCAGCTCCGGCCTTTGCAGTCACTTGAGGAGTGAATCATCGGACAGAAGATCTTCCTGTCTGTCTCTTCCCCTCTCTCTGTATATCTGACTTCGCAATTAAAAAAAAGAGGCAGAGTGATACAGAGAGAGGGAGGAAAGAGAGAGTTCCTCCAGCAGCTGATTCACTCCCCAGATGGCCACAACAACCAAGTTTGGGCCAGGCTGGGCCAGGAGCTCCATCCTGGCCACCCACTCGGGTGGCAGAGGTACTCAGTTCTGCTACCTTCTCAGGTTAGGTGCAATGTATGAGGCTGGACTGCAAGCAGAGCAGACAGGACTCAAACCAGCACACTGACCTGGGATGTTGGCAAGCTGTGGCTAAACTCCTGAAGCTGAATGCTAACACACAACTGTCAGTGATAGAACACATACTTTTCACCCAAAGACTTTATGTAACTAAGACTAAATTAACCTACATTTCCTGTCATGTTTTCACAAAACTCTGCGGGACATACATAAAAGCTGATCATATTTGAGGTCACCAAGAAAACTTTACCACATTTTCCAGGGGAGAAAATGCATCACAACCCAGCAACGGTTTGTGGTGACATCGCTTCTCAGCATTTGGACCAAGATCAAGTGTAATTTACAATGAGAAAAATTGAGAGGCTAGTTTTAATCACTTGTCAGAATATTTACTGCTTTGGATCAAAGAGGAATTCAAAATTTTAGAGTTATTTTTCACTTTGTTTGAAAGGCAGATCTCCACCCTTGAAGGCAGGGGACAGGAACTCCCTGTACTTAACCCACCACCTGATGCCCCAGGTTGTGTCTTGCAGTAAACTGGATTGGAAATGGAGCAGGGCTGGACTACAGGAAGTCTGATAGGGGATGGGCTCCTCTCACCCTGAATTTCCCTTATTGAAAGGAAGCAGGGGGAACACAGGAAGGCAACAGAGGCCAATAGAGGTTATGGCTGTCCCCTGCTGGGCAAAGCCAGGTAGGTCTTGGAGGCCAGATCCCTCTTCGTCCTCATCTAGGTTCATACCCAGTGAACAGCGCAGTACCTGGCTCCTCGGGCCGCGCTGGGAGGCACGCTCCCTTCTGGGGTTCCCCAGCGGGCTTCTCAGCGCTAAGTCTGGCCATCAGCCCTAAAATACCGATGGATTTGCCACGGACAGTGTGCTGTCGGCTTGATGTTAATCGATTTTAATTTTTTGGGTCTCAGTAGTAGCTAGCCTCGCTCCTTACACAGGACAGCTAATCCGAGCCTGAAGTTTTAATGACAAGACAGCAACCAAGACTAAGAGGAAACACCGGAAACACCATACTGAAGAACACAGATCAACCCCTGCCAACGCCTACCTGGGGCTTCTCTAGAGTCCCATCTCTATGGTTAGCATCTCTGGAGGACTCAGTGAGCACGGCCAATCATTAGACCACCACACGGGCACGTGGTCGGAAGCTTCTCCCGTCATTGGTTTCCAGCGGGAGGGCCCGCCCAACCACTTCCGGTATTCTCCTTTAAGTGGACGGCCAGGCGCCGTTCCGGTCTTTTCGGGGACGTGGCTGGAGTAAGGTGAGGTGGTGAGGTGTTGTTTCCGGGATTGGGGTGGCGGGCGGCCGGCGGTGATGACAGCCGATTCAAGCACGTGTTAGACTGCTGAAGCGGGTGATGCGAACTCCACACTGAGCCAGCCGCGGCGAGGGCGGGGAGGGCCGGGCCGGCGGACGGGCGCCCGCTCATCCACTGCTGTGCTTGCAGGTCACGGCCGCGGACTTCGGATTTCCTCGTCTCAGCGCGACTTCAGACTTCCAGCGCCCCTTCAGGCTCAATAAAGTGTTGGCATCTCAATAAAGTGTCGTGTGTGCCTTTCTGTTTGCGTGTCCCGCGACGCGCTGCCTTTGAGCCCCCGCTGCGTCTGCGCGTGGCGCCGGGGGTCAGGCTGCAGCGCCAGAGCAAGGCTCGTGCATAACTGGGGCCGCCGGCCACTCGCGGGCGGTCCTTTTAAACGCGAGCGACACGGCCGCCCGGAGTGGGGGCGGACGCCAGCCTGGGGGGTCGCACCGAGTGCCTCAGTGTCGCGGGATGGCGTTTCCCGGCCAGGCTTGGCCCCAGGTCTGGACAACTTTTGGCTCCAGACCAACGTGTGGTTGCACCCCGTTTGTAAGAAAACAGTCTGGAGAGCGTTAAAGCTTCGGGCAAAGTAGAAAACTGGAGGGGCAAGGATGGCAGAAGGCGGCTGAGCTGCATTGGGCTCCAAACTGCACCACTAAAAGTTAATGTGCTAATGTTGCAAACTAGAAATTTACAAAAGCAGCCTTGGAGGTGCCAGGATTTTTATTGGAAAGACTTACAGAGGAGACAGATCTTCCCATCTGCTGGTTCACTCCCCAAGTGGGTGCAGCTGAGCTGATCAGGATCTCCAGGGTCTCCCACGTAGGTGAAGGGTTTCAAGCACTTGGGCTGTCCTTTGCTGCTTTCCCCAGGCCAAAAGCAGGGAGCTGGGTGGGAAGTGGAGCCGCCAGGATATGAACCATCACTCGTATTGCATCCCAGTGCATGCAAGCGAGGATTTAGCCACTAGTCTGCCGTGCTGGATCCCTCTGTTTTGTGACCTTATCTCGCCTCACTCCTGGCTTGAAACTCCAAGTTCTGCTCATTGGCTCCTGAGTGGTGGTGGTGCTTGGATATCCTGAACTAAAAAGCCAGCAAGACCTGCTGCGCAAGGAGTGGCCCACTGACCACCGGCAAACGAAAGGCCCTGTGAGGGCACCTAGTAAAAAGGAATTGGATGCTCCTCTAGTGTTTGATAGGAGATGTTTATTTTGTGAACAATGCAAGCGACTGTAAATCCTCACATAGTGCAACAAGGTACAGTTGTGTGAGCTACACAGTAGTGCATCTAGTCCTTGCCTTTATTGCACACAAACACCAGTGAACCGACATGCGGGCCTATACAATAAGTTAGGACAATACGCAGACTGGAATGGTCAAATAATTTAAGTCAAATGTTTTAATGGTGCAATTAATCAAAGTCAAATGATACTTTTAAATATACTAATTTCTTTAAAGTCATTCAGGCAGATGCTGCTTAAGAAAACCACTATCAGCTTTGTCCAAAGACATGAATTACCAAAAGTTACCCCATGGTAATTTTGATTTAACTGCAGCAGTCAACAATAAAACATTGTATTAAACTTACTTTTCAAAGCAAATTATACAAGTGGAGCCCCCCCAAATTGTAAACTAGATTCTGACACAAATGCACAAAATTAAATTGGCAACACTGAAGAAAGGTCACATGTTAATTTTGAGATCATGTAGTGTTTGATGTTGAGCAAACTTTTGGTCTTAAAATCAGCAGTTTTCTGTTTTGGCTGTCAGAAGGGATGTGGCCAGCAGGACAAGTCCCACACCAACTGGCTGGCCAAGCGCTTGGTTCCTACTGGAGCATCCTGAGCACAGACTGGCTCCTGCCTAGCCCCGAGTGAGTCAGATGCAGGTGTTTGACATTTTCACATATGCTCATGATGTTGGAAACCAGGTGACTACCTCATTGGTAAAAGGCTTGGGATGGATGGTTTGATCTCATGGCTTTGCCTAATGTTCATACAAATCTCACTGTCCCCACTCTAGTTGATAGTGTGTTGTGGGTGTTGTTTTATGGCTGCTTGCTTCCAAAATGCAGTAGGAAAAGTTGCTCTATGTCTTGTCACCAATGAAATGGCTCACAAAATGCCATTCCCCACCCTCCACACACATTAGCACATTTGACAACCTCTGTAGTTGAAGGTTGTGATCAAGTACAAAGTATAGAAGTGGAAAAAAAGTCCCACTGGGCACCGGCTGCCTGAGGGAAAGCTTTGAGGGAGTTGGGAGGAGAGGAGCTTTCTAGTTGTGCAGCTTTGCTCCTGATGTAAGAACTGGCAGACTGGAAAAAAGCATGAGTCACCTGCAACTTTGAGTCCACCGTGATGATTCAGCCTTTGCAGCAGGAAACCCAGACATTTGTCACTGGATGCAGGCAATGACACCTCACAGTGGAATGGGCACCAGAGGGCAGAAGCAATCCTTTGAGAAACAGTAGCTGTGGTCCAGGAAAAGGTCAGTGCCACAGCCAAGATGGCAGCCAGGAACTCCACACCTAAGCCAGGTCTCAGGCTGGTCTCAGCACAGCGGGTCAGCAGCCTCCACCAGCGGGTCTTTCAAGAGGCAGGAGGTGGAACGAGGGTCCATGGCCGAGTGCATTAAAGGGACATAAACATCATCCATGTTTGGCATGACAAAAACTTTCTGTAGGAAGACATCAAGGGAAAGTCATGGCGGAAGGCTCTGTCAGACCCACCCTACTTTGGATGATAATATTAGGCTTTAGACACATTTTGGAAAATATGAAAATTTTGTATACAATCCAAACAAATTCCTACACCATTCTTTAATTTGGAAAGAGTGAGGAATGTCAGGAGTGCTTGAATACATGAACTAGTAAATCTGTCCTGTGCCAGAAGCAGCCTTTGATTTCATATGCATGTAATAAAATTACATGATTTGATGAACACTCAATTTAGAACTGGCTTAAGCGCTGACTGTATTTACAAATTACTATGGTTAGAGCACACACTCCAAGTGAATTTATCTTTTAAGTCCTAGTACTGAACTGTGAACTTGTATTTTTCTCTAAATCGGCAACATCACACAAAGCCTGTTTTCAGAGAAACTCCTCATGGAACATGCCAGGGTGTGCAGTGGCTGATGGCAAGGGCCCTGTGCCTATCTACCGATAACTTTCTAGGTGAGATCAGGCAATTGCTCGATCTTTGGTAAACCTGTCTTCCCAAAACATAAAAGAGGGTGAGCAGGTTCCAAGAGGAGGGGCTGTAATTTTCTTCAACTTCCCAAGGTGTCTCAGAATGCACGAGGCACCAGTCTCGGCCTCTTCCTCTCCTTTTGCTTCCTATCCCTCTAGAAGGATGGGTTACCCAGATTCCTAATGCACAACCCGAGGCCAGGAGAAAAAGCCAAACACTGAGGGCGTGTGCCCCGCTCCCCTCACGAGGTTCACAGTATCTTCCACTTGGAACAATTTTCCACAAGGAAATAATTAAGCTTTTCACAAAATTGGTTATCAGTTGTATACTGTTCCAGTTTTTAAGTAACACTGTAAGAGTAATTAAAAAGCTCATGGAACTATGGAATTAAAAAATATGTTGTATAGCCCCCTTTTTTTTATTCCTAGCCTTTTTCATAAAATGTATTTTCATGAACTTATGGATATCGCTTGTACTTTTTTAATGCAGTAAGTCAAAATAAATCATTGTAAAAACAACGTAGGTCATTTTTAAAAGATGAGATTCACTTCAAGGCAAATAAACTAATCCATAAAGTCAGGATAAGACAACTGTGCCTCAAATATGTCAGAAAAATGTGCCTCAGCTTTGCTCTTTGGAAACTGTCCCTAGAAGCTCCCTGATGTGTGCTGCTCTGGGATGCAGGCAGCCGCTCTCCTCAGACTCTCCGAGGGGGCCCAGCCCCAGAGCAGCTCAGGACCATGTCTGCCCGGGGTTCTGACAGGCCACATCGCACAGCAGATGGACACCACCTTTACCTGAAACTCTTGCTCCAGCTTCTTTTCTATCCAGTCTGTCACGTGAACTAAAGTCACTTCTCTCTCTCCAAGCTTTGGCCGCGCTTTGAGCTCCACGTACGGTGGCTTCCGGAAACCATACCTTTTAGGAGAAGACAACTGCCACGTTTAGAAGTACAAAGAAGTGGAGGAGCACTGATGACAGACCTGCTGCTGCCGGAGCTGTTCTTCACTGCGGAACCAGTAAATCCCTTCTAGAGATAACTGCCCGGCCAGGGGGAGCCCGGATCCCTGCTCCCTGGACAGGGCTGGGTGGCGAGGACATTCCAACAGTTCCCACAAACCGGGGTAGATGGGAAACAACCACCACTGGAAAAGCCAGGGCGTGGGTGCTGTTTCTTGGTTGTGTTTTTCCTTAAATACAATGACCTCTTTCTTTTCTGTTTTTATGATGTAGTACATGCACATGACAGAACCCCAAACACTCAGTGCTGATAAAATGGAAAGCAAAAGACACTGCCCAGCCAGAGCACCAGCTCACAGCTCACGTGCCTGGGAAGACATAACGCCCTGCGACCTGCCTGCCAGGGCAGCCCCTGTTATGGCCTCCAGGGGACAGAGCAGCAGTCAGAACTGCTGGCGAAGTGTCCAAGAGAGACACTGGGTGCGATCAGGACTGTCTAAACACTGTAGGCGGCCATGTCGTGCAGACTGCACACAGCAGGGACATAAGACTACTCTGAGTACTCAGTCTTTCAGTCCTGCTCTCGCTGAGTCACCAACGAGTCAGCACTTAGGCATGTCCTGGGGAGCACGATCCCAGGGACCTTTACCTGTACTTCCCACCAAATAGTGGCACTTACGCCCGACAAATGGAAAAGCTTGTAGGAAAGACATGCTGTGTCAAGACTGTATAGTAAGGTATTCACATAATTATTTCTGAGCTTGTTTCTTTCTTTTCATTTTTCTCCCCAATTTCTCACTTTTTACAAAAATATTTATTTTTATTGGAAAGTTAGATGTACAGAGAGGAAGATCTCCCGTCTGATGATTCACTCCTCAAACAGCTGCAACGGCCAGAGCTGTGCCTATCCAAAGCCTGGAGCCAGGAGCCTCTTCCTGATCTCCCATGCAGGTGCAGGATTTAAAAGCTTTGGGCCATCCTTGACTGCTTTTTCAGGCCACAAGCAGGAAGTTGGGTGGGAAGCGGGGCCGCCAGCATTAGAACCTGTATCCATATGGGATCCCAGCATGTGCAAGGCAAGGACTTAAGCCACTAGGCTACCACACTGGGCCCTCTCACTTTTTTTTAACACAATAAAATATGAAATCTAAAAGATTCTTTTTAAGCTTTCCTGGGAGGCCCAGCACAATAGCTCAATGGCTAAATCCTTACTTTCCAAGGGCCAGGGTCCCATATGGGCACCAATTTGTGTCCCAGCTGCTTCACTTCCCATCCAACATATCTGCTTACGGCCTGGGAAAGCAGTAGAGGGTGGCCCAGAGTCTTGGGATACTGCACACATGTGGGAGATTCAAAACAAGTTCCTGGCTCTTGGCTTCGGATTGGCTCATCTCTGACCACTGCCACCATTTAGAGAGTGAGCCAGTAAGTGCAAGATATTCTGTCCCTCCTCTCTGTAAATCTTTCTAGTAAAAATAAATAGATCTAAGTTTTTTGGGGGAAACAACAAAATCATCATAAAATGGTTACACAATTGAGAAATCTTCTTGAGGGTCCGGCAGCATGGCCTAGCGGCAAAAGTCCTTGCCTTGAGCACACCGGGATCCCATATGGGTGCTGGTTCTAATCCCAGCTGCTCCACTTCTCACCGAGCTCCCTGCTTGTGGCCTGAGAAAGCAGTCGAGGACGGCCCAAAGCCTTGGGACCCTGTATGGGAGGGAGACCTAGAGGAAGTTCCTGGGAGACCTGGAGGAGGTTCCTGGCTCCTGGCTTCAGATCGGTGCAGCACCGGCTGTTGCGCTCACTTAGGGAGTGAATCATTGGATGGAAGATCTTCCTCTCTGTCTCTTCTCCCCTCTGTATATCTGACTTTGTAATAAAAATAAAATAAATATTTAAAAAAACAAACAAAAAGAAAAAGGAATAAAGAAACTTTCTTGGGTCCAGCGTGATAGCATAGTGGCTAAAGTTCTTGCCTTGCATGCACCAGGATCCCATATAGGTGCCAGTTCTAATCCTAGGGCCCTGCTTCTCATCCAGCTCCTTGCTTGTGGCCTGGGAAAACAGTAGAGGACGGCCAAAGCCTTAGGACCCTGCACCTGTGTGGGAGACCCGGAAGAGGCTCCTGGCTCCTGGCTTTGGATTGGCTCAGCTCTGGCTGTTGTAGCTGCTTGGGGAGTAAATCATTGGACGGAAGATCTTCCTCTGTCTCTCCTCCTCTCTGACTTTCCAATAAAAAGAAATAAATCTTAAAAGAAAAAAAAAAAAAAGAAATCTTCTCTGATCAATCCAACAAAGCCCTGGAGTTCAAGGATATGGCCCTGCACTGGACCCTGGAGAGCTTCTTATTTGGTGACTGGCTTAGTGTACCACAAGGGCTGTCATGCAGCACTGCATACATTTGCATCCATTTTACAGAACTTGGAGTGGCAGTTCCAAATGAAATGCACAGCTGATGAATCTGGGCCCCTGCATAATTTATGTCAGCGATTCTCAACCTCGGCTTAATCACCACCTCCCTCTCCTAAGATCCTGTAGGAATGCTAGCCTAAGCACATCTGTATTTTCAGCAAGTTCCAGGTAATTTTACATTTCCCAACCACTAGTTCATTCTCTAAATGTCTACAATAGCCAAGTCCAGGCTAAGCTGAAGCCAGGAGCCAGGAGCTCCATCCTGGTCTTTCACATGGGCGTCAAGGACTCAAGTATTAGGGCCATGGCCACTGACTTTTCAGGGGGCATTAGCAGAGAGCTGGATTGGAAACAGAATAGGTGGGGTTCGAAACCAACGCTTGATATGGGATGCTGGTGTTTAAAGTTACAGCTCAGCCCACTGCTTCACAATATCAGGAATCATCCCCACCTTCCAGGCGATTCTAATACACAGCTGGGGCTGTGAACCCACTTACTGGACAAATCCCTTGTCACAGATAATAAGTGCACCTGCCCCTGCTTCCTCACCATCTAGGCTAGCTCAAGAAGTCTCCCTGACTGCCCAGAATCTGCTAGAGGCATGTCCTCCAGCTGTCCATTAGGCCTCATCAGGCCCCCTAGCGGGATGTTGTAAAGACTAACCAGGTGAGGCACTCAGGCCAGGATGGGCAGAGAGTAAGAGTTCTGTCTACAAATGGCAACTGTTGTTTCTGTTGGGAGAGACAGCTTTGGAGCAAAGACTGTGAACAGATACGGCTTATCTCATAAACTTCACGAACTACCCTAAATTGCCCTAAACCTAACAAGTGATGGTGGATCCCTAAATGTGATGAGCCATTCACAGAAGAGGAGGACTAACGGATTTACAGCTGCCATTTAGGCCCCATGAGTAACAGCCCGCAGTGCTCCCACCCAGCTCCTTCTATAATCCGAGACCAAGTGGCTGGGACTCTACAGTTATCACTCAGGTCCCTAGCACCCTCTACGCACCAGATCCGGTCGGTCGGGGGAGGTGGGATATTGACGGCCAAGGTTCCTCTACATTCTTGCACTTCAACAGTCAGCAGCAGGGGTGTATTGGAAACCTCTTCAATCTTCTTTTTAATGAACTCTGTCTCTGTTGCCTTCTGGAAATATTTTGACTTGGTAATTTTATCAACAAACCTCATAATCTTACTTGTCCGATGACCTCCAACGTACCTTTAGTGAGCAACACAGGGATGTTAGGGGAGCTTTGACTTTGAAAACAGAAACCTGTGGCTGACCTGGCTTAAGGGCAGCACTTCTCAAGCATGGCACTCCTGCCAGTCCGGGCTGGGTAACTGCATGGAGGGCACTGTATGACAGGATGTTGAGCAGCTTTGCTGCCCTCGTGCTATCACATGGCAGGAACAGACTGCCAGCCATGACAAGTCCAAAAGTCTCTGAACTTTGGCAAATGGTTCTTGGGGAGGCCAAGTCACCCCAGCTGGGAAGTATTCACAAAAGAAGGTGTAAGGTCCAGCCCCAGTCCAGGCCCAAGCCTGAGTCCTGATAGTGCGGCGTTGGAAAATCGTCACACAGGGACCACATCTCGGCTGCCTCACCTCTCCCTACTACAAACGCTGCTGAGAAATCCTGTGTCTGCTCAGAGATAATCTCCAGAGAGCAAATTACAAATCCCCACAGCAACACCAGGTACACAAAACAGTAAGTACCACCTGCCCTCGGGTGTGTTACACCAACACCGAGCTACCATTCCTCTGCAGAGGGCCTGGCACATCTTAAAGATGAGCTGACTCAGCCATGTTTCTGCGAGTCACCAGAGAAGCCATGGAGAAGCTTCTTTGTGCAGGAAGCAGACACTCTAACAGCAAGTGGGACCAGCAGCGGTGGGGAGGGTCTGCACCACGCACCAGGGCAAGAAGCCCGCAATCTGAAGCATGACTTTTTAAACAAGAACACCCTTCAACTTGTCTGGTGTTTACTGAAAGGGAAAGAAGAAGGCAACTTGGTTGAGAGTCTCTCAAGAAAGGAAAGCCACATAGATCTTTATGCTTTGGGACCCTGAATTTAAACCAGACACTAACACTGGGTATTAATGTAAAGACTGTCCACTCAAATCAATATGGGAAAAGCAGCAGGCTCACAGATGAGGGAGGGAAAGGGCCCACCCCCAACCTGCTGCCCTAGCAGGTAAGCGGGCAGACTCTGGGAGCTTACCCTTCAGCTCCTGGGAGCAGCTGTTTGTCTCCCCCACTAGGCTCTGGGGCATCGTCTTCGTCGGAGGAGCCGGCGCTGGAAGATTCCTCATCACTGTCAGCCAGACAGAATGCCCTGGGCCTGCAACTGAACAAGGGCACAGTCATCACCATAGCCTGCCCGGGGACCGAGTTCTGCTTAGGTACACGCATCCACATAGCAATACACTCAACCACAATGGGACCAAGACTGCCCAGCTACCCCACAACAAGCTCCATCCAAGAGTGCTTGGATGGTGGGTTCCTTGGCAGATCCCCCACATGGCCCTGGGGCACTGTGGAACAAGTCCGCTCATGAGCATGCATCAGAAAGACAGCTGGTGGGTTGATGGCAATCCACATAAAATGCAGTGATTTAACCAGGAGGGAGGAATGGTGGCAGATGAGGAGAACAATGGTTGAGGGGTGGGGTGACAGATGTGTGGGAGACGTGAGCACGTCTTATTGATGATGGAAATGTTGGGGTAAGTCCATAGACTTGGGCTGAGCTCAACAATTATAAGGTTTTCTGGTTTAGCTGCCCCCCAAAATGACAGGTCCTACCCCACATCTGCCCTGTACCTTCCCAGGGGAAGAGCTGGCACACACAGACATGAGTCTCAGGGATTCAGGGAGCCAGGGGCCTGCCTAGCAAAGTATAACCTTAGAAAGACCGTGCTTTCACCAAGGGAGCTAAAGCTCACCAGGGAGCAGTGCCCCTCCTCGCTCCAGGCCCAGGGGAGCCTCCGTGTCTGAAGGCATGGGGTGGCTGGGCTAGCTGAAAGGGCAAGCAGTTGGGGTCCCCCTACAAGGGGCACTGGGGGCTTCTCAGCGAAATTGCACCACCATCAAAGGTGGTACCTTCCTGGATGTATATCCAAGAGAACGTTCAGGTCTTGGTCTCTGGGGCTGAAAAACTGAACTGGGACAGAATGAACAAGGAAAGCAGTAGCTTCTGTGCACACTGAGCAAATGAATGACACCTAGCAGAGGCTGACTCTCATATTTCTGACAAGGACAAAGTTAGCTGGACCAGGAATGGTGACAAAGCCCAGGCCCTTCCTCCCTACAGCTGCAATCTTCTGCTTTCCTCTGATGCCCTTGGGCCAGCAGAAGCCCACTGGGGCAGTCACACTTGACCAAAGGGGGCCCAGGGCACCCAAGGGCAGACAGCATGAATGGCATGGGCACGCAGGCTGGGTGGGGGCCCACCATGTACTGGGAGGTAGGGCTGCAACACAAGGCTGAGCCGGGCTGTAAGAAGATCTGAGGAGTGGCTTCCTGGCAGTACATGTGGATCCTCCTCAGTGTCAGCTCTTGCAATGTTGAGGCCACGCTGCCACCAACAGGAGAGGCTTCAGTTAAAGGTAAACATCCTCTGCACAACAAAAGCCGCTTGTTCCTGGCCCTGACTCTTCCTGGTTAGTCCAGGAGTTGCTTCTGTGCTTTCCTTTGCTAGTTCCAGAGCTGTTTCCGAATGTTTCGTGGATGGGCAGCTCTCATAGAGCTCTTTAAAACATGATTCCCCAGAAAGCCCAAACTGGGTTCTGGCATAAAGACCTTCAGAGATGTGAGTCACCAAGGAGGACACAAACACCTGGAAATGCTCCAAAACTTCTGCACCAGTGGATACCTGTGCCCTTGGTCCTTGTGCTGCCAGGTGCCCTGCTTCTCATCCACACAGCCTGCAAGGCTACCTGAAAGATGTGCTGAGCCACTGTCACCTGGGAGGTGCCAACGGTGAGCACGGTGGTGCTCTCGGGTTCCCACACGCATGCTGTGTAGGACACATCCTGTGGCTTGCAGTGAATAATCTACACCACGCTGTAGCAGTAAACACAGAGCAGACCCTGGGACATTCTGATTTTGACCACATGGCATCTCTGCTCTCTGCACTGCAGCTGCATTGTATAGTATCAGATCCTTACTAATTAAATGTGTAGCTAAATGTTTGGCTGGCTGACACTCAGCTTGGTCACTGGATGTATTTAGGATCTCAACCTTACGATGCCAGCAAGAACTTTAGGGAAAGACACAGTGTACAATCCTTAGAGAAGATGTGCTAGACAGTGATGAGTGAAACCATTTTAACCACATCGCAGAATCCTACATGAGTGTGCTACCCCTGCAAAGAGTCACTTTAACCGGCTTATTCCAGTTATGCCACCTCTGCTGAAAAGGCTTTGGGAAATGTGTTTGGCATCATATATGTATGAAAAAGTGAATTTTCTATCCCTGATATTCTACATGGGTCTAATATTCTAAATTGCATAACCATCATCGCTTTGGATGACTTCCAGCACTTTCCCTGAGATCCAAGTCATCTACAAGGCAAAGATGGCTTGCTGTTGTTGTCACTCAAGAGAGTTTAGAGCACACCAGACTCTAGAGGCAATCTAGAAAGCAGCACCCAAAACACAGCATGTGAGGAATGAGCATCTGGGTTGAATGGCCCTGGACTGCAGCCACTCCCTACCCCTGCCATTCAGCCTCAAGCCTCATGATGGAGGAAGTGGAGAAGCAGAGTTCAGAATCACTCCTGGGATTCTGTTTCTAGTCAGAAAAGGGCTTCCAGAGGCTCTTGATGCTTCCAGAAACTGAGGCAAAGGATGCGTGTAAAAGCAGCTTTCTGGAATAAGAATCCAGAGTGCTCACTTCTGGAAGAGATCCTCATGCAAAAAAATATTAGAAAAGTTTTTTTTTTTATCCCAAATGATGTGTTTTTGGACAGTATCCTTTTTTGTTTTGAAAATTAAATGCTAACCAATCACATATCAGCACAGGAAGAAGCAGAACATTTTATGCCAGACTTTCTAGGGGAAAAAAGTGGTACCTAGGAAATACATTAGGAGGGAAAAAAAGAGAGAGAGAAAGAAATACATTAGGAGGCCTGGCATTGTAGCATAACAGGTTACTGCAGCAGCAGTTCAGGGCCCAGGTGCTCCGATTCAGATATCTCCCTGCCAGTGCACCTGGGAAAGCAGGGGGAAATGGCCCAAATACTTGGGCCCCTGCCACCCACATGGGAACCCTGGATGTATTTCCAAGCTCCTAGCTTGAGTCTGGCCCAACCTTGACCATTGAGGCCATTTAGAGAGTGAAGCAGCTAATGAAAGTTCTATCTCTCCCTTTCTTTTGCTCTACCTTACAGATAAATAATTTTTAGAAAATACACTAGAAATTAAATATAATACTACCACCTTCCAAAGGCACAAAATTTCCCTCTACTCATTCTATGGAAGCACACCTTGCTCAGACACATGTTCATTCTCTCATAGCCAGACTTCATGAGCTTGAAGTTGTGTCATGAGAACCAACTGAATTGCAGTGAACGTGGAACAACTGAGGCCAAGGCCTGTGGGGACCTGGCTTTACTGCCAATTGATGCCCAGGATCCTCCTCCACATGGCCTCCCTGCTCCTCTCTGCTGGCACAGGGCTGTTTCCAGAAGCAGCTCCATACACAAGTGTTTCCAACCCAAGTTTGCCCGGCTGTGTTCCCATCTACTCAGGCTCCAGTGTCAGGACCAGCTCTGCCCACAGTGCTGCCTGTTATAAGCAGCTGAGTCCGCCACCCTCCTCACAAGGCCTGACTGATGAAAACCAGCTGGGTGTGGGAGAGAGGACAAGGTGAGGACCATCACAATCCAGACTGGCCAAGTCTGTTAAGACTGTCCTTGCCAAGAAACACCGTTCAGCACTTGGTCTGCAGTCCTGAGGTCCACAGGCTGCGTCTTTCTGTCTAGGAACAGGAGAAGGACAAGCTTCCTTGCAGCTTCACAGGGACCCAAACAAGGCTCAGCACTTACAGGGTATGAAATGCTACGTGGGGAGTTGATAAATACCACTCACCAGAAACCACAAATCCACAGATTGCCGAATCCAAACACATTTTAACAAATAGCAGAAAGATGAAGGGAAAATAGCACAGATACAGGTTAGATTGCATAACAATTCTCCACTATTAAAACAGGAACATTTCGTTAAGCAACTCAGATAAATTAGGATAAACTAGGCAAAAGAATATTTCCCACCTTCCCAAACACGAAGACAAGCCCTAGACCCGCACTGTAAATAAGTGGAAATCTGAGAGCCTAAGTCTCATAAGGGACCTGAGAAGGGGACTTCAAAAGGGGCCCAACAAAGAAAGGCTAAGGTGCAAGGAACAGACTCTAGCTAGCAGCCGTTACGTGGTAAAAACAAGAACATAATGTAAGTTTGTAGTCAGAGCAGTCATTTTAGGGTACGTGGGACTGACAGTGCCAGTTAACCCTCCTAGGCATTTAAGGGGGGAAAAAATCAAGCTGCCTGGATTACCTCTCAATTTTGGAGTGTTCCTAAATACAACAGCCCTGGGCCACTACTAAGGAAGTGGAGAGTTTACCAAGCCAATCAATATTGTGTTAACTCAGAGGGAGTGCTTCTCACAACATCTCACAATCAATCATCCAGGGACAAACCATCCCCAGTGTGAGGTGAGGTGAGGTGAGGTGAGAGCAGAGGGCGGCTGGACACACTGCCGTCTGTGGGGCAAGCGGGGGAGTGGACTTCCTCCCTGAGGACTCCTTGCAGAGCGTTTCACTGCTCACACATGTCTGTCCTGCTCGCCTTAGTGAGGGATGCTGCAGGTGGATGTGTGCAGCACCGAAGTTCAATTACTGTCGCAGCTGAGCAGGGCTGAGAAGATTGTCACGGTTATGGGGGACAAAACTTGCAGCTCTGTAGGAACAAGCGCTCACACAGGAGCTCATCAGGCACCCAGGGAGCAACTGCCCATCACACCTGCGTCCCAGAGGCATGGGAGGGAAGAGCTGGGCCCCAAGGGACAGGTTAGTAAATTCATATATAGCCCCTTACCCTTCTTTGCCAATTTCTCCAACCTTCAGGGCTTCAACAAGAGGCTCTTTACCTAGTTTGGTCAAATTCATTTTGGTCTCGAGAGTCATCAGAAAGGACCCATTGTAGGACATTTCCAAATCGATCCAGAGTCCTGGAGAAATGGAAAAAAAAAAAAAGGTTTTTTCTTCCTCCCCAAAGAAACATATGGCCATGAATGACAATACAGAATACGTCTTAGAAAGCATCTAAGTGGGCATCATGTGGGAAGTGGGTATACTGCTTACACTTCTCACACATCAAGAGGACAGCATGTCAAGAAGACTGCACGTGGTCCCAGCACACGGCAAAGGTGCTTTTCAGAACCCACAAAAATGGTCACTGTGAATTCCGTGCACACATAGGCTGCTTCTCCTCATATTATGTGCCCAGGAGAAGAAAATGGCTTGACCTGGACCCAAGATGCTGGGTGCTGTCTCCTGACCGGGTTAGGGGGCAGGTGGAATGGGCAGAGAGCCATCTTTATGGGCTGGGCGGGTCTTCACAGACCTGAGATAATCAGTACCTCCCAAAATTGCCCAGTGTAGTTGGGGACCATGGAAATGGATCCCATTTGTTTCAGTAGCATAAGGACAGTGACAAAAACATATTAACCCTTTTTTTTTCTGGAAGTTGCCTATCCATGGAAATGGAAGCATTAACTTTGAATTCCCTGTACTATACAGAAAAATTCCAGGAATCACTTTCTACCCTAATTTACAAACCTGATCCTGTGGCCAGTGTTTTAGCCTAGCAGGTAAAAGCCAGCTTTCCATATGGGCACCAGTTCAAGTCCTAGTTATTCTACTTCTGATCCAGATCCCTGCTAACATGTCTGGAAAAGCAGAAGAGGATGGCCCAAGTGCTCAGGCCCCTGCACTCATGTGGGAGACTTAGATGAAGCTTTGGGCTTAGAGCACCCACTTTGGCCTGCTCCAGCCCAGCCCCAGCCCTGCCCTGGCCATTGCAGCCATGCAGATAGTGAATCAGCAGACAGAAAAATCTGTTTCTCTCGCTAACTCTGCCTTTCAACTAAATAAGACAATAAGTCTTTTAAAACATACACATGGGCTGGGCATGATGGCCTAGTGGTTAACGTCCTCGCCTTGAAAGCACCAGGATCCCATATGGGTGCTGGTTCTAATCCCAGCAGCCCCACTTCCCACCCAGGTCCCTGCCTGTGGCCTGGGAAAGCAATAGATGACAGCCCAAAGCCTTGGGACCCTGCACCCACATGCGAGATCAGGAAAAGGCTCCTGACTCCTGGCTTCAGTTTGGCTCAACTCCAGCCACTGCAGCTGTTTGGGGAGTGAACCATCGGATGAAAGAGCTTCCTCTCTGTCTTTCCTCCTTGCTGTATATCTGCCTTTCCAATAATAATAAATAAATCTTAAAAAAAATACACACCTCTAACCTTTAGAAAAGACACTAATACCAATGGAGAACACCTCTTAGGGGCATTCACTATTCACTGGGATGGCTGTTGACCAGGAGTCCACAATGCAGCTGGTGTCATCCCGCTTTGTGGAAACACATTACAGTCTAGCCAGTGAGATAAGCCAGGCTGAGTCTGTAATATCTTACACACATTCAATCAACGTGTGAGCCGCCAAGCAGGTGTTTTGTTTAAATATTAATAAACTTTTATAGAACTTTTAAGACAAATGACAACATCTACAAGGAAGCAGGAAATTAGTATGAAGCCACTGCTCACACAAAGCAGAGTTTGTCAGCAGTTATAGCAAATAATTCATCCCCTACATGCTACCCCTCAGAGAGAAGCATCACTTCAACCTCAAAAAACACTAATGGTGTGGTTCCTCATGAAAGGCAGAAAAATTTGCAATCTGGTTCAGTAAATTCTTTTTATCATACTTGAAGGTAATCATTTTCCATGAATGACCTGGTTTAATTAAGTTTAATGCAAGTCAATTGAGACAGCCTTCTTTGAAGTAACACTGACCAAACATATGTTGTATTTATTGCTTCCATTATGCAATTCAATATCATTAACTAACTTGTTCTCCAGAGCTACTCTTCCTGGACACAAAGGGTTCATCTGTTGGCATAAAGTCATTTCATTGTGAATTGCTTCCAGCAGAGAGGGAATCAGGGCAACAGGCTAAATGTCCACAGACTTTTAATTTAACAAACAAGAAAAGGTCAATCAAGGAGATATTTATCGCTGTGTAAGTTCTCCAGCTTTGAAGAAATGAACTGAAATAACATGGTTACCGTATGTATTCAAACACGCTCACTTCTTCGGGAATCCTAGCCTGGTTTCCAATGAATTACTAATAGTATGCATTAGCTTTGAATGGAGTCACATTGAAGGTATCAGAACTTTACTTCTTATAAGATGGAAGGTTTTGTTTGCTTTTCAACTAATGGGATGATGTGGACATGAGCTTAGTAGATTGCTGTCTCCAGCCCCGTCACTGCAGCCCTCCTGGCCAGTGGCCAGTATCTGTCCCTCCCTCCCCCTCCAACCACAGTTAGCAAACACAGGACAGCTGAGAGAGGAGATGGCTCCTGGTCATGGGGCCTGGGCCATGGCTTCGCTAGAGGTTTCTCAGCCTGTCTTGTTCTTCAGGAGAGAGCTGACTGACCAGTGTCTGGCACTGCATGGGGTGGTGGCCTCTTCTTTGTCACTGCCAGCCCATCCTGTCTCCTCACTCTATCCCTGCTTGCTGCGTGCATATTCTGGGTCTTCACTGGGAAGTGACTGCTTCTAACACCACTGCATGCACTCCCTGAGGTGCTGGCACTCAGCAGAAATACAAAGGACTCAAGAGTGGTTTGGATCTTTCAAAACAGACACAAATTGAAGTAAACATTCTAACAAAATGAATGTGCCTGCCTTGTGTTCACCTGAGGCTCTTTTGGCAAGAGGTGTAAAGGAAAATGTGCTTCTATGATAATGACTCAACAGGCAGAGCACACCCTGGACACCCAGGAGTGTGTCCAACTCGCACTGCACAGAGCTGGCTAGGTAACAGGGAGTGAGGCGGCCCCTGCTTTGCCAGCCTGGGGAATGGGTGTAACAGCTCCTAGGACGGTTGTCCTCCCTTTGGGGACAAATCTAGCGGCGTGAGTAGGAAGATGTGTATGCCCATTGTCCCCAACAGGGCTCTTTTCTTCAGGTTCTTGACCACCATGAAGACTGTGGTGAGGCATTTTATCTCAAATGCTGCCTTCTCTAACCATCTGCCTGAGTAGTGCTCAAGGACAAAACCAGGAGTTAGGAGCAGAGTAGCTTTTGATGCCCGAGAGGCTCTCTGCAAAGGGGCCCAAGGCAGGAACATAAAGGGGCTCCATCACACAGGGGTCCTCATGCTACAGAGGCCATCCAGGGTGGCCGTGGTGCTCAACTATCAATGCCCCTGCATTAAGTGGGCATTCCCTTGGTAACACAGGAAACACAACTGACACTGAAATGACAAGCATCCATCAGTCTTCGCCCCAGGGTCTCCAGGAGCTCAGGAGGCTGCTTCTCCACAGTTCTGGCTCTGCTTCGTGGAGGAAGCATTAATGACAACCGTCACCACTCCAGTGGAGTGATCACTGGCAACAGTGACCACACATGCTGCCTAAAGGGTTTGCTGAGGTTTGAATGCACAATATCAGAGCATGAGATGGGTCAGGTATTTAATTCCTACAACTCATGTAGGAGATTCCAGTGGAGCTCCTAGCTCTGGCCTGGCCTAGCTGCAGCTGGTACAGCCACCAAGGAGTGAATCGACAAGACGAAAAACCAGAGAGAGAGAGAGTCATCATTGTGTCCCTCTGTCTTTCAAATAAACTTTTTTTTTTTAAGTTTAAAGTCTAAGAGCTCCCCATAATGGGACTCACTTCCACCTCTTTGGAAATTTCCACTAATTCAGCAAAAACAATCCCAAGAGACTGATAATCCATTAGAAAACAAAACATGTGTGTTTATAATTTACTTTTCAAAAGCCCAATTCCCAGGAAGCTTGTGTTAGCTGATCATTGACCGGCCTGTTCCAAGTCAATTCCTCTAAGAAGTAAAGAGCAAAAGGCAATAGAGAGGCCAGCTGAGGCTGAAGAAGCTGTACACTGATGGGAGGAAACTTCCAGCAAGGAGCTTAACACACAGATGTCACATCTTTCAAAATTAGGCATGGGGTTACAAGGACTCTAGTTAAACCATTCACCAACAATTGAAACCTTTTCAGGCTTTACTTTTGGTGATCCAGAAATGATGTATCCAGGACTCCACAGACATACTGAGGTGTAGACAAAACTGAGGGGTTACAACAACCTCAACATGCAGGTGTCAGCAGCTGCAAATACTGTTCCACCTAATTCCTCTGACATCAACGTAATGATAGAACCATGGAAATCCAGCCTCCCTGTCAGCTGCAATATTGATAGACCTGCCATAGCTGCACATAATGGCAGAAAAAATGATGTCACTAATGAGGATTTAAGAGCCATTTGATATAATCATGCAGACAGAAAAGTAGCTTCTAGAGTCCACAAAGTTTATCTAACATCTGCTTCGGAACAAGCAGCGTTCTATTGGAAAGTTGCAATTACCACCCCCACCCGCACCCTCACCCTTGTTCCTGAGCCATCCTTAGACATAATGGAAATACATTCCATGTGGCGACAGGCTTCTTCCTGCAGCCCAAGTGGCTCTCTTTGCCTCTCTGGCTCACTCTCTTTCCTCATCCAGCTCCTTCCTGTGCACTAAATTGTCCCTGTCAAGTTCCTTTTAAACCCACATGATATGTGGGGCAGGCACTGTGGAGAGGTGGGTTGAGGCACTGCCTGTAATACTGGCATCCCCATACTGGTGCCACTTTCTCAGCTGCTCAGCTTCTGACCCGGCTTCTTGCTGACCTGTGCTGTGATGTGCCACTGCCCCCCATGCAGGCGACTCAGACTCAGATATCAGCTATCTGGAGAGTGAGCCAGTAGATGGAAGATAGCTCTGTGTTTCTCCCTCTCTGTCACTCTGTCTTTCAAATAAATAAAAATAAATCTTAAAAAAAAAAAAAAGCTTTGTGTAAACTCCGTCCACATTGTAATCAACTTTTGTCTCCTACTCACAAGACTAGGTACAGATATTGTGTCAATGGCATATTTAAAAAATTCAAATCTGAAGGGCTGGCATTGTGGCACAGAGGGTTAAGCCACTGTTTTGAGATGTTAGATCCCATGTCTGAGGGCTGGTTCAAGTCTCAGGTGCTCTACTTTTAAACTAGCTCCCTACTGATTTGCATACAGGGGATGGCCCAGGTGCTGAGCACCTGCTGCCCATGTGGGAGACAGGGATGTGGTTCCTGGCACCTGGTTTCAGCTTGGTCAGGCCTGGTTGTTGCAACAATTTGGGAAGTAAACCAGCAGATGGAAGGTCTTTTGCTCTGTTTCTCCCTTCTGTAACAACACTGCCTTTCAAATAAATAAAATAAATCCTTCAAACAACAATAAAACAAATCAGACAACTTTCCTGCAGCAGGGAGCCTTAGTCTGAAAACACTGTCTTTAAGAACATGTCTTCATTTTTCAAACACACCGAGCACCTGCTACGGGTATACAAATCACAAAGATGTGAGACATGAAAATCAAAACAACTGCAAGACGCAAGCCTGGGCAAAGGAAGGATGAGAGCACATACGCTGGAGCAGCTCCTGGCAGGGCCCCAGCGCCCGGGTGGGCACACACATGAGCTGTGTGAGGGGTGAGTAGATCCAGACCCCCAGCCGGTGCTGCCGCCCCCTGCCCCCAAGAGGCCCTGTCTCCCATATGTAGGCATCCTTGGGCTAGAGGTGTCCCTGTAACAATCCAGGAGACTACAGGATTAGAGTGGGGAGTGGGAAGCGGGGTACTGATCTACTCCCCCGAGACTGTGATTGTTACAAGCCAGACACTCAGTTTGAAACAGAGGTTAAGGAAGTTCCCAGTTCCCTCTAAAACCAAAGCCAGGTAATGAATCTGCAGTGACAGAAACAGCTCAGCACTCATCTCAACAGTGATGTGTGTGCGAGGGCCGGTTCAGACTTACCTTGGTGATCCACATAAGGCTTAAAGGCCTGCAGAATTTTTGGCACAGCCACCCCCATGTCCAGTTCTGTCAGAGTTAGCTCGTTCATAAAGTAGGGAAGCTGGAAGAAAGAAATAAACAGTGATTGAGATGGTTAAGTGATCTGGGAAATACGCTAAGGCAAATCAGAGTTTGACACACCTTTGGAGGGAGTGGTGGGCAAGCTTTCTGGGGTCAGTGGGTGCTAAGTTCCAAGCTGTGTGTGTTGATGGCAGCCACCTGCTGTCACGGGCACAAGAAGTACCTGGGTCCAAGGAGAGGACCACACCTGCTGTTGAGGTGGGAACTCAGCTTGCTTCAGACCCACCATGGGGCGTGAGATATGCAAACAGGGCTGCTCTTCACAAGTCATGACCACATGCACGGGTGATAATCTGAGCTTGCAGGGCAGGAAAGAATCCTCCTGTGTTGGACCTGAGATGGAGAACCTGGAGAGAGGGGAGATCCATGCGCAGGGGCAACTGAGGCTTCTCCAGATCCCACTCTAACTCGGGACTGCTGTTAACCAGAATCCATTTAGGTTGAAGGTTTGGCTCCTCCCAGGGCTACTAAGAGTTCTTCGCACAGAGGTGGTTCTGTCCTGACCTCCAGATTTTCCCACTGCTAGAGCCTCCCTGGTCTACAAAGCATGACGGAGGGAACTCAGCCTTTGTCTCTGAACTCTGGCACTGCTAACCTGTCAGTACTTCTGAGCTGAGAAGGCAAAAGGAAGATTATGTGTGTGACTTACAAAAACCTGTATGACTAGTAGTGAAAAAGCAGACTCCCTCCTTACTGCCTGGGAAGAGGGGACCCACCATGCCCTGCTGAGGGGACAGAGGCATCCTGGACTTTCCCCTCCCATGAGAAGGGCAGCATGCTCCCTCTCAAATTCACTAGGAATAGGTATAGCAGGAAGCAGAATCCTGCTTTCCCTTCACACTTCCAGGGACTGCAGCCCTTCCACTCAGGAAGGGTACTAGACAGTCTCTGAGAAGTGTGGGGCCAGTCCTGCAGCCTTGCCCCTGCGCCTGGAGCCAGCGACTCCAGTACTCTGCTTTCAAGGAGGAATAGGCTGAGTGGATTAGAGTTGGCTGCTGACATCTCTGAACGACCTGCAGCTGGCCATTTCCCCTACAGAACCAGTGGTAAGTGGGCTCAACCCTCAGTCCACCTCAGGCACACAGGTCAGCATAGCCCTCCCAAAGTCCAACCCCAAATTCTGCTTCCAAATCTGCCCTTCTGGTCCAGAAGCAGCCCTGGTCAGTACAGGGCTGAGGAAGAGAAAACACTAACGCAGAGGCCAGAGAGAACTTTCTGGAGCTTGATTAAGCCAAGAAGTCCTCTACCCAAACGAATGACAGAAACCAAATAAATGCACCTGCATATCCACGTTTACCTTCTCATCTAATTTTACCTGAGCTCACGTTCTGAACCTAGAGTCTTTGAACTTGGAAATCACAGGCAAACTTATGTGTCATGCATTTCTCTAAGGGAAGGAGCATTCTTTCTGCTTTCAAATGTACTCACAATCTAAACACTTAAACAATTAGCCACGGAAATTCTCAGGGAAGACTGGGGGACCAAACTGACTCTTCCTTCACTGGGGCTACACTGGGTTAAAAAACTTCTAAGGTGGGCCCGGCGCGGTGGTGCAGTGGTTAAGGTCCTCGCCTTGCACGCCCGAGATTCCATATGGGCATCGGTTCTATCCCGGCAGCCCCGCTTCCCTTCCAGCTCCCTGCCTGTGGCCCGGGAAAGCAGTCGAGGACAGCTCAAAGCCTTGGGACCCTGCACCCACGTGGGAGACCCGGAAGAGGCTCCTGGCTTCGGATCGGCATAGCATCGGCCGTTGTGGTCACTTGGGGAGTGAATCATCGGACGGAAGATCTTCCTCTCTGTCTCTTCTCTGTATATCTGCCTTTCCAATAAAAAAATAATAAAATAAATCTTTAAAAAAAAAAACTTCTAAGGAACCTGAATAAGCTCTCTTGATTGGCAAACAAGCCATTCCATGACAGTGAGTGAGGACTACTTACAGGATTTAAACTCACTTTCAAGTGGGCCTGCATTAACACCAGGAGTGTTTCTTCAGCAAAGCCAGAGCCCAAAATAAAGTACCATCTGGCCAAAAGCAAAGGTCAAGCACAGACATGTTTACAACACAGTGCTTGGAAGGAGGCCCAGTGTGTGCCATGAGCCCAGTGGCACTGGGACGTTGGCCAGCTGTGGCCAGGCAGTTTAAGTTCGTTTTTAACTTAAAGATCACACTTTCCCAAACTAAATTCTGAGATCATTACCCAGAACAGGGAGTAACATACAAAAGGAAACAGAAATGTTCAACAAATCTCCAGACACGGTCCCAGGATCAAAGACCGGCCTATGAGCGGATGTGCTGCATGAGAAATATTCACGACCCTCAGTTGTTAAATGCTTACACCCACTTCGTTTTCACTTGGGTACAAAACTTCCTGCATTGGCAGTGTGGACGTTTGAATGCTCTCATGTGGAAGTGATACCTTTATTTTGCTGAGTTTCATTTGGATTTTCTTAGACACCAGATCAGACCAGTATTTCTCCCCTAAGAAGTCCCAAAATATTCTTCCAAGCAAGGCGTTCACCCAGGCTTCCTGTTCTTCCTCCTCCAAGGGGGGAGCTTCTGGCAACTGGCAAAAGAAAAGGGACCAAAATTAGCTAAGAAGCAACTGGAGAATAAGACAGGTGCTTATTGCTACAAACTCACTGATGGTCCCTCCCTGTGGAAAGAGGAGGCTCGCTTCTTCCCTGTAAATTACAAGTCTCACATCATGTTGGCGAACAGAGAAGGGAACAACAAAAGCTGCCATCACAGCTAGAACACTGTCTTTGTTCATGCTCCTTTCCTTGCAGTCTTTCTGTGCGGCTCCTACTGCACACACTCAGCCCAGCCAGGCTGTCCTGTCTCCTGAATCAGCTTGGTGTCAATACTTTTGGACAAATGCTGGCCTATCGTTGCTTCAGCAAAGGCTCAGCTGGCATCTCATCCGGGCAGAATCCAGGACTCTCAAGTTTGACCTGATTCTTGCGACATCAAGGCACTCACAAGGTGCTGAGAACTGCTGACTCCTGGGTCTTAGCCCCAGGGGCACTGAGCTTAAGTGGGCACCAAAGTACTGTAAGAAAAGGAACAAACAAGATGAAGAACCACAGTTCAGAATTAGAAAGTTGTTCTCAGTTTACAGGCAATTTCTACACCTGTTTTCACCAATCAGCCCAGTCAGTTACTGCAGCCCCCATCTCTGTTGCAGCAAACCTGCTTCTCCAACTTCCTGGGCTAATCCTTAGGCCACAGCCTCAGGCCTGGTGAGGGTCAGAGACAGGGATAAAGAGAAGGAAACAGCAGCAATGATCGCACATGATCTGTGAAGTCTCAGCAGTAGGTGCGGGGGATGGCTTGACTCAGTAACACAACAGCATGGTGACTGTGGTTACTACTGCCATCCACCACATGCCAGACTCTCTCAGGTTGCCTCATCCATGTTTTGCAATACCCTAGGAAGACAGGAACTCAATCACTTAAAGGCAGAGGACACGACACGATCACCGCAGTCTGACCTGGAGCCTTGCTCTTCTACTTTCTGCCCATCTGCTCCTGCTATCTATGGCAGGAGGAGGCAACTATCCCACTGATGCTACATTTTTCTGTCTGGAGGGCTCTAATTAGACTATAACCTTACAGGCAGTGAGTTTGGAAGGCAGAGATCAAAAGATCTAGAAATGCAGAAATCTTTAATTACGTGCCAATTCTTTCCTTCAGTGATTTATGTGAACACACCCATTCCACCTGTGTGCATGATCGACATCTCACACTCGTGCTACCCACCCTGGGTGGCTATTGACAGTGCCCACCTCGGCCTGTGCACTGGTGCTTGGTGTGCAGATATATGTACATATTTTAATAGTTGATTAGGGTACAAAGGGTCAAGGGCTACAGGAAAGTGGGTAATACCATTGTTTCCACATTAATATCATTAATTTTTTTTAAAAAAATTTTTAATCTTTTTTTTTAAGATTTATTTTTATTTTTATTTCAAAGTCAGATATACAGAGAGGAGGAGATCCTGCCCACTTCATACTCAGACCTCACGCAAACCAGTGGGAGCTGGTTTTTCTCTCTCCCCTTCTCTAATTCTGTTTTCAGGTGAAATGAATAAATAGAGAGAGAGAACAGCTGAAACTCAGAAAGCACCCATACAGAATGCTGGTATCACAGGCAGCATTTCTTCCCACTTTGCCACAACTCAGGCCCTGAACCTCACTTAAAAAAAATCATAAACCCTGTTATAAAAACAAATGCTGGGCCCGGCGCGGTGGCACAGTGGTTAAAGGTCCTCGCCTTGCATGCCCGGGATCCCATATGGGCGCCGGTTGTAATCTCGGCAGCCCCGCTTCCCTTCCAGCTCCCTGCCTGTGGCCTGGGAAAGCAGTCGAGGACAGCCCAAAGCTTTGGGAACCTGCACCCGCGTGGGAGACCCTAAAGAGGCTCCTGGCTTCGGATCGGCATAGTATCGGCCGTTGTGGTCACTTGGGGAGTGAATCATCGGACGGAAGATCTTCCTCTCTGTCTCTCCTCTCTGTATATCCGCCTTTCCAATGAAAAAATAATAAAAATAAATCTTTAAAAAACAAAAAAAACAAAAAAAACAAATGCTGGGCCCGGTGCGGTGACGCAGTGGTTAAGGTCCTCGCCTTGCACGCCTGGGATCCCATATGGGCGCCGGTTCTAATCCCGGCGGCCCCTCTTCCCATCCAGCTCCAGCTTTGTTGCCTGGGAAAGCAGTCGAGGACGGCCCAAAGCTTTGGGACCCTGCACCCGCGTGGGAGACCCGGAAGAGGCTCCTGGCTTCGGATCGGCATAGTATCGGCCCGTTGCGCTCACTTGGGGAGTGAATCATTGGTCGGAAGATCTTCCTCTCTGTCTCTCCTCTCTGTACATCTGCCTTTCCAATAAAAAACAAAAAAAACAAAAAAACAAAAAAACAAATGCTTATCAGTCATATGATGTCAGAAGTCAAGAATCACTTTCTAATGGCTGTGGTGTCTATTTTTCCAGTGCTGGAATCATCTTGACATGAACCAAGAACAGGTCTAGGTAGAAGGGGAGAACTCTAAACCTGTCTCAAACACCACTAGGCGTCTGAACTTGTTTGAGTCACTTTTCTCTCTGCTTGAACACCTACACTTCAGTCTAAAAGGTCTACACCTGGGTCAGCTTTTCCTTGGCCACTGTCATCAAGTCCCCTCAGGTTTTCTGTACAGAATCGTGAGTCAACACCCAAGCAAAGACAATGCCCATCTGCCACGCAGGCAGTGCTAAGATGCTGCCCTCCGAGGACACCACCCTCAGATTCGCACCAACACAGGCTGCCTTTCCCTTTCAAGAGGGAGAAGCTACTCTTCATTATCCTTTCCTTACAACCCTAGTCACTTACTGGAAACAGTTTTAGCACAAAGCAGCAAGAAACAAAGGCTATTTCACAACATATGCCCAAGCCAATGACACGTGATGTGATAAACTGCTGAAATAACTGACAAGTAGGTTGTTTTTTCCTTTCAATAGCTTCTGTTTCTCAGGCAGGCTTCTCTCCACAGATTCACTGGGAACAAAGAAAAATCCAAGAGCAGCAGAACATTTATAATGCATCAAAGAAACTCGGTGTTCAAGTCTGTAGTCAACAGGCTGCAACATTTTATTTCCAGCAAATGTCATAAAATTTTTAGAGCTTAAAGGATAAAGGTGGACACACTTCCTAATAATGTGGCTGGAACATAAAGAGAATATTCACATTACCATCTCATCTATACATATACATTTAGAAATGGTAGCTTTGCAAAATGGTCTCCAAATGTGAGTAAGTGGAGTTCAGTAGCTCAAACCTGAAACAAAGCAACAAAATCGAGCACTTACAGAGAAACATTTTATTAAAAGCTAACATCTAGGGGCCCAGCCCAGTAGCTTAGTGGCTAAAATCCTCATCTACAATGCCTGGGATCCCATATGGATGCCACTTTATGTCTTGCTTCCCATCCAGCTCCCTGCCTGTGGCCCGAGAAAGCAGTCAAGGATGGCCCAAAGCCTTGGGACCCTGCACCCACATGGGAGATTCAGAAGAGACTCCTGGCTCCTGCCTTCATATTGGCTTCACTCTGGTTGTTGCAGCCACTTGGGGAGTGAATCAGCGGATAAAAGATCTTCCTCTCTGTCTTTCCTCTTCTCCGTATATTTGCCTTTCCAATAAAAATAAGTAAATCCTGAAAAAAATCTAACATCTAGAATTACACAATGAAATGGATTTACTCAATTATGTGGTGCTACCTCTTCTATCAGCAGCAGCATGGAGGCCAGCTCAGCTTGTTTGCTATAAAGACAGATTAACCCACAGACAGGTGTCATGGGTGCCGCAGAGACAGCCTGGACCAGGAGAAGATTCATGCCAGGACTCGGTCTTCACACTGGTAGCTAGTTTCCTCTGAACATAAAGTATATTCATTTTAGAAAATACCCATGGTCAGGGCCAGTCCTGTGGCATAATACATAAAGCTACCATCTGCATCTGTGGCACCAGCATCTTTTGTGGATGTTGTTCAAATCTTGACTGTTCCACTTCCAGTCCAGCTTCCTGCTACTGTACTGAGAAGGCAGAAGATGGCTAAGTGCTTGGACCCATGCACTCATGGGGCACACCCAGAAGAAGCTCTTGGCACCTGGCATCAGACTGACAGAGCTCCGGCTAATATAGTTATTTGGGTTAATTTAGGGAGTGAACCAGTGGATGGAAGATCTGTCTATCCCTCTCTATATAGACAGATATATGCACTTGAGTTTAAAATAAAATTTTTAAAAAGTCAACAACTAAACACCATTGATCCCACTACCCAGGTATAATTACTTTGTCTTTACATCTGATCACTCCCCAAGTGCCTGCAATGTCCAGAGCTGAGCTGATTCAGAGCCAGGAGTCAGGAGCCTCCCCGAAGTCTCCCACATGGTTACAGGATCCCAAGGTTTTGGGCTGTCCTCTACTACTTTCCTATGCCACAAGCAAATAGCTAGATGAAAAGTGGAGCAGCTGGGACATGAACAGGCACCCACATGGGATCCTGGCACCTGTAAGGTGAGGATCCAGTCACTGAGCCATCACACCATGCCCTACATTTACTTTTAGGCTTTCAAAGTAAAACTGAGTTTAGCAACTGAGTCTAGGTTTTGTATAGTTCCAGCCTCAACCGAGCCCAGCTCCAGTACAAGGAAAATTGCTACCTGATTCCACTTGCATTAAGTACTTATAAGTGTCACACAATACAGATTGTGGACTGGTGGTTGCCAGGGCTTGGGAGTTTAGGAGGAAATGGAAGGAAAGTTAATGTTTAATGGTTACAGTTTCAGTCTTTATAAGATGAAGAGAACAGTGGTGGTGATTGCATTATGAATGTATTTATACTCAACTGCACACTTTAAAATAAAAAAGATCAAATGGCAATTATGTATATTTTACCATAAACACACACACACACTTCTGTTTAGATCCTCACAGAGTTGGGTAGCTAACACTACCACTAAGCTAACTACCTCTGTACCCATTAGCAATCACTCTGGCCCTTCTCCCAGGCCCATGCCAATCATAGGAAACAACCAGTTTTCTAGAGACTAGACTACTGGACTATTCTAGACAGTCCCTGTAAATGCAGTATTACATGGTGCTCTGAGTGTGTGTGATCAACTTCTTTCACTTCCTGTTTTCAAGGCTTACCAAGTTATAGCAGTATACCATTTTTAATAAAAGATTTACTTACTTATTTTTCTTTCTTTTAAAAAATTTCTTTCTTTTTAATTGGAAAGTCAGATTTACAGAGAGGAGCAAAGACAGAGAAGATCCTTCGTCTGCTCAAAAAAAAAAAAAAAAAATCTGTCCCAAGTGGCTGCAGAGCCTGGAGCTGAGCGGATCCAGAGCCAGAAGGCAGGAGCTTCTTCTGGGTCTCCCACATGGCTGCAAGGTCCTAAGACTTTGAGCTGTCATTGACTGGTTTCCCAGGCCACAAGCAGGGAAGCTAGACATGAAGTGGCACCCATACAGGCATGGAGGACTTTAGCCACTAGGCTGCTGCTCTGGGCCCATCATTTTCCGGGGAAAGATTTGTTTATTTTTATTGGAAAGTCAGATATACAGAGAGGAAGATCTTCCATCCGTTGGTTCACTCCCCAAGAGGCTGCAACAGCCAGAGTTGCACCTATCTGAAGCCAGGAGCCAGGAGCCTCTTCCAGGTCTCCCACACAGGTGCAGGGTCCCAAAGCAGGCCGTCCTCAACTGCTTTCCCAGGCAACAAGGCTGGAGCTGGATGGGAAGTGGGGCCGCCAGGATTAGAACTGGCACCCACATGGGATCCTGGTATATGCAAGAAAGGACTTTAGCCACTAAATTACCATGGCAGGCCCTGGAGCCCATAATTTTTTAACTGTAGAATAATATCTTTTTTTTTTATTGAGAGGCAGAGACAGACATATAGGCACAAGCATATATGTATACAGTTTCCTTATGCCTTGAATGGCTGTGTAAATCCACTACCAAACCAAATACTGAACATTCAGAAGATTAGGCCTTCCCCTAATCCAAACAGTAAATTTTTTTAATCATACAATTTGTTTTTGGAAAGGTAAATATACAGAGAGAAGGAGATAGAGAGAGAAAGAACTTCCATCCACTAGTTCACTCCCCAAGTGGCTGAACAGCCAGTGCTAAGCCATCTAAAGCCAGGAGCCAGGAACTTTTTCTGGGTGTCCCACACAGGTGGGAGGTCTTTTATTCACTGGTTCACTCCCCAAATGGCCACAGTGCCTGGAGCTGAGCTGGTCCAAAACCAGGAGTCAGGAACCTTTTCTGGTTATCCCATTTGGGTGCAGGGTTCCAAGGACTTGGGCCATCCTCTGCTGCTTTCCCAGGTCATAAGTAGGGAGCTGTAGCAAAAGTGAAACAGCAGGGACTTGAACCAGCACCCACATGGGATGTCGGCAGTGCAGGTGGAAACTTGGCCTACTCTGCCACAGCATTTGCCCCAAGCATCTGTATCTTATCTAATCATTTATCAGATGACCCAGAAAGCCAAGGTACATTCCCACAAGCATCCAGAGGCCAAGTGGACACAGTGACCTCAATCCCCAATACATATCAGCCACTAAATTAACAAGGATGAGGTAGGTTCAAGGTAAAGCTGACTACATGACACAAGCAACCTCCTCACAGGAAGAAAAAACCCTGCACTGAGGCCCTCTCACCTCACGACTCCAGGCCTGAGTTTACTTCTGTTCTACTCAGTCTAAATGACCACCAAAAGGATGAAATCATACTGCATGCTCTGCCTAATGGGGTCAGGAAGTATAACAGCATTAAGGGATTTTCATCAGATTTAGAAAAAGGAGAAATGATTGGCTTTCTCACAGGGACCAAGCAGCTCAAAAGACATGTGGACCACAGAAGCCTGACGGCAACGCTACGTGGGAGGATGGGCGGTGACATCGGTGTCCCAGGACCATGTGATGCCACATGCACTGAGAGAACAATGCTCCCAAACAAACAGGGATTGTAAGTAAAGAAAATCCTTCAGAAAACAAGTATTTTCTTAAATGACGTTCTTAGGTCAAGGACCAATTCTCCTCCTGACTTTCCTGAGCCCAAGCACCCAGGGAGAAAGGGCCACTAGTAGGAAATAGGGTGTTTGTTTTATTTAATTGAAACTAGCTTAAAACACTATTTATTTATTTACTTACTTACTAACTTATTTAATCTGGAAGGAGAAAGAGAGCGAGATCTTTCACCTGCTGGTCCTCTCCCTAAATGCCCACCTGGCCACCCTCCCTGACACGCATCTCAGCCCAGTCTCCACTGCAATGCTCACCTCCTGCCCTCTCTCTGCCTCAAAACGTCAACTCTCTGCAAGGAGCTGATGATTTTTTTAGACTTAAATTATATCAATGTTGCTCCCTGCTCAAAACTTCCCAGGGCCTTCCATCCCTCTTGGGATGGGTCCAATAAGACCCTGCCCACTCCCCAGCCTCCCTACCTCCCCCTGTGGCCCTAGCAGACTGCCCAGCCTCACTGGCCTCTCTGTTGTGCTTGAATACCCCAACTGCATTCCTGCCACAGAGCCCTTGTGCTTGCTGGTCCCTGCTCCTGGAACACGCCCTCCTGCACCTCAGATCTCTGACCAAGAGTTACCTCCTCCAACAAGACCTCCCTGACTGCCCTTGTAAAATAGTAGCTCTGGCCACTTTCCACCCTCCTTTACTAAGCTTTAGTTTCATTCTTATCATCATCTCATGCTCATTTCCTGCTCTCCCTGGCTAGTGGGCAAGCCCCCAAGAACAGGACCCTTTATTTTGCTCATCACTGTGTCCCAAGTGCCTCGAACAAGCACAAAACAAGAAGCGTCTCACAGGCAGAAAGGAGCACGAGGAGAGGGGAGGGAAGTTCCACTAAGGTAGACAGCTTTACCTTTTTCCCAGCTGTGGGGCTGCTCTCCACACTCTGCACAGGGCTCCTGTGGGGACTGCGGTTTTCCTGGGGGACACACCTGCCCATGTACACGCTGTAGTCAAGAAGCATCTTCTGCCGCACGCTGCCTGCCAACTCCTTCTGCTTGGGCTGTGACAGGATCTCCTCCATGCTGCCCTTGCTGCTGCTGCGGCTATGTGTCAGGTGGCCGGAGGGGCTGCTGTGTCTGCTGTGGGTGGGCACAAGCCCTGGGGCAGAGAAGGGAGGACCATGAGCACAAAGGAAGACATGGCGAATGCAGAAACAACACCACTCACTGTGTGAAGCAGAGGCAGCTAATATGCTATCGAACATTTACAGTTGTCACTCTGAAAAATTACTTTAGTGCTATCCATGATTGATTTTTTTTTTTGGACAGATTTTATTCCTAAGACAATTCAGACAAATGGGAGAATGACAAATGTCCAGTAGGTAGATATATTATTTGAAAGGCAGAGCAACAGAAATCTTCAATCTGCTGGTTCACTTCCCAGACGGCCACAACAGTCAGGACTGGAGCAAGCTGAAGCCAGGTAGGGTGGTAGGAGCCCAGGTACTTGGACTATCTCCCACTGCCTTCCCAGGTGGAAGAAGCTGCATCAGCAGAGCAGAACTGAAGCAGCACTCTGACACTGGATGCTGATGTCACTGCCACAATGCCAGTCTCCTCCCAGGTCTTGGAGGGTTGGTTGGTGCTAGAACTGACAGACCCCAAGACTGGCATGTTGACTCAACAAACGAATCCTCTGCCTCAAGGGCCACCATCCTATGTGACTGCTGGTCTGTATCCCGGCTGCTCCACTTCCCATCTAGCTCCTTGCATGTAGCCTGGAAAAGCAGAGGAAGATGGCCCAAGTGCTTCGGACCCTGCATCCACATGGGAGACCCAGAAGCTCCTGGCTCCTGGCTTCAGATTGGCTCAGCTCTAGCCACAGTGGCTATTTGGGAAGTGAGCCAGCAGATTTCCCAAAAATAAATAAATAAATCTTATCAAAAAAAAAAAAAAGAAAGAAAAAAGATAAGAAAGAACTGACAGACTTTAAATCACAATAGATTTGTGAATACTGTCAGGATCAAGTAGAAAGTGAGTCAAAAGGCAATTAGAGCTACAGCTCACAACAATTTCCAACACACCATCTTCCCTTCACCAAATTATTCATCAAACACATTCTCTAGACCAGTTATGCACTAAAAAGAAGACGCAGCGCCTGCCCTTGAACTTAGACACCAATGCAGATGAACACAACCTTCTGTACTAAGTGACTGCAGCAGGACCACAGGACTTGCAGGGCAAGGGAAGGAGGAACATACATCTGTCACTCACACACCATGACACCTGGGCTCTATCTTCAAGGATAGCTACCATTTTCCTGGCTCAGATAGGGAAGAGCATGTATAAAAAGCAATGACAGAGCACAGTACATCTAAAACCTAGGCAGACACTTTGTGAAGTTTCACACAGGGCACGTGGGAAATGCAAGTGAGGGGACCTACCAGGAGCAGCAAGACAGTTTATAATCACATCACACAAATTCTACTTTCTTTTTAAAAAAATATTTATTTTTTTTATTGGAAAGGCAGATTTATAGAGAGAAGGAAAGACAAAGATATTCAATCCCATGAACAGATTATCTTCCACCCTGTCTCTCCTCCTCTCTGTATATCTGACTTTCCAATAACAAGTTTAAAATCTTAAAAAAAAAAAAGAGAAAAATGATAATTAGTTAAAAATAAACAACAACAAAAAAGAATTCAAATGAAATCTAGAGTTCAATAAAAAAAAGTAGGAAAAAAACAGAAAAGGAAAAAAAAAAAAGATGAAAGCAAACAGAGCAGCAGGAGCCAAAATCCACAGGCACCTCCTCTCCAAGACCGAAGGGAGGAATAAAACCTCGTCCACACCTGCAGTGGCCTCATCCTGTTACTGCACCCTGACCCTGTGGGCAACAACTGCTCTGTGGATTACGGATCTTGATGACATCAAGCACCTGCTTGTCCAGCAGTCATATTAGAGTCCTGCCATGCAACCACACAGCTTGTTCTCCCCAGACTCTGGCTCCTCCTGGGGTTATTCCTGACCGGCAGCCAGCCAGCAGGAGGCCTTCCATCTGCTCAGGACAGATGACCTAGCCATGGAGAGTCACCAGGCCCACCTTCATGGCTTTAAGGAACAGCATGGTCCTCACCAACTGACCCTTGGTAGCTCTGGAAACTTAAACTTGCCACAATATCTCACTTCATAGTGTGTAAAAGTAACAGGTATTGTTAGTGAAATGAGTGCAGCTGTGTTTGCTTTCAGTCTAAGTAAGGACACTGAAGGTATTCCCCCATCTCTAACTCTTATCATTGGGTTTCTTGTGTGCTGGGTTCAAGTCTGGGGACTCCTGGCAGGATTTCCAAAAACACAGGTTCATTAAAAATAAGCTAATTAACATGTCACTTGCAAAGCTGCTTTGGGTGGCCCTCTGAGCGCAGAGGCAGGGCTCTTACCCCTGTGGTTTGTTTGATTCTTTCAATGCATAGTGGAGCAGACCTTTATTTTCCAACAGATACATGCAGGCTACATATGTAACTTTAAATTTTTCAGTAGACACATTAAAAAGGTGAAAAGAAACAAACAGAATTTATTTTACACGGTCATTCCCTAGGTTTCCTGGGGGCTGGTTTCAGGAACCCATAGAAGCTACCAACATTTGAGATGCTTAAGCCATTTAGATGATACAGGCTGTGGAACAGAGGGCTGGCATGTGGCATAGTGACTTCAGTTGCTGCCAGTGGTGTTTGCATCTCATGTCAGTGCTGGTTCAAATCCCAGTTCATATCTCTCTGTTTCCAATCCAGCTCCCGGTTGATGCACCTGGGAAGGCAGAGGTACATGGCCCAAATCCTTGGGCATCTAACACCCATGGAAAAAGCAGTGTGGAATTCCTGGCTATGGTCATGGCTAGGCTCAGTCCAGCTGTTGTGGTCCTTTGGAGAGTGAACCAATAGGTGAAAGATATCTTTGTCTCTCCTTCTTTATAACTCTGCCTTCTGAATTAATAAATCTTAAAAAAAAAAAAACAACAGAAGCTACATGCATCCTATACTTGAAGCCATCTCTAGATTATTCATCATACCTACTACAGTGTAAATCATGTAAGGTAGTTGTTACACTGTATCATTTAGGGAATAATGACAAGAAAAAAACGTTCAGTGCAAGGCAACTTTACAGCTTCATTTATTTTTATTGGAAAGGCAGATATACAGAAAGAAGGAGACAGAGAGAAAAAGATCTTCCATCCTCTGGTTCTCTCCCCAAGTGGCCACAAAGGCCAGAGCTGAGTTGATCCGAAGCCAGGAACCAGAAGCTTCCTCTGGGTATCCCATGCAGGTGCAGGGTCCCAAGCACTTGAGTGGTGCTCCTCTGCTTTCCCAGGCCACAAGCAGGGAGTTATTTGGGAAAGTGGAGCAGTCAGGACTTGATCCTGGTGCATGCAAGTTGAGGATTTAGCCACTAGGCTATTGTGCTGGGCCCCAAGGCAACTTTTAAAGAGTATTTTTGATTGGGGTAAGTGCCATGCCTTATCAAGCCTGTGATGCTGGCAACTCATGAGAGTACTGACTTGAGACCCAGCTGCTCCATTTCTGATCCAGCTCCCTGCTTTTGCCTGGAAAAGTAGCAAAGGATGGCTCAAGTTCCTCAGTACCTGTACCCATGTGGAAGACCCAGAAAAAGCTCCTGGCTTTGGACTGGTTCACTTCCGGCCACTGTAGCTATTTAGGGAGTGAACCACAAGATGGAAGACTGTGTGTGTGTGTGTGTGTGTGTGTGTGTGTGTGTGTGTGTGTGTGTAAATCTGCCTTTCAAGTAAAAATAAATAAATCTGGGGGGGAAAAAGAATATTTTGATCCACTGGTGTTGAGTCTGTGGATAAGAAGCCTGTGGCTATGAAAGGCCAATTATCTAGTATTTAACCTGATGTACCTAAAATGCTATCATTCTAACCGCAGCCAAGATAGAAAACAGTTAATGGGATACGTTTCTTTTTGGAACAACTTTGGAATCTAGTGTACATCTTACACTGAGAATACATATCAGTTTGGACTAGCCACTTTGCAAGGGCTTAAAGCCGCGCCAGGCTGCTGGCTACCAAACAGACAGCCCAGACTCAGAGCCATGCCAGGTGATCTATTAGAATTCGCTTTTTTACTCTTCAAATATTGATTAATCTGAGAAACAGAAAGACAGAGAGGGACAGCTGGCGGCAGAGTGAGGAGCTGGATCACTCTCCAATAGGCCACAGCAACAAGGTCTGGGCAAGGTCAAAGACAAGGACCAGGAATGCCATCCAAGTTCCTCGTATGAGTGGCAGGAGCCCAAGTACATGAAGTGTCATCTGCTACAACACTTGTCCCTTGAATTTTCTTTTACTTGGTTTTAGGAGTTTGACTGTGTCCTTCGAAAGATACACTAATGTCCTAATCCCTAGTACATGAAGTCTTATTTGAAAATGGGGTCACTATAGACAGAATTCATTAAAATGAGGTCATTCTGGTCTGACTTGTGTCCTTCTAAGAACAAGAGAGACACACAAGGCAACACCAGATGACAATGGCAGAGTCCGGAGTGATACACCCATAAGGGCACAGACTTATGGCTACACCAGAAACTAGGAAGAGGCAAGGACAGGTCCTCAGTGGAGCCCACAGGGAACTCAGCCATACTGATTCCTTGGATTGAGGCTCTTCACCTCTAGCACTGTGAGATAATAAATTCGTTGTTCTGAGCCATCAAGTCTGTTGTGGTTTGTCCTGGCAGCACTGGGAAACAAATATATCCAGTAATATCCCCATACATCTAGATTTTTGATGCCTTTGGTTGTTTCTAAGAGGCTTCTTAGATCTCAGCCCTAGCACTAGGATATATTGAAGCTAGTTCTGAACCCAACAGAAATGAAGCTCAGTATATGTTTGGTAAGGGTATAGATCATCTGCTGGGAAGAAAGCAAAGGAAGTATCTGAGACCCAAACAACTCATATAACCTGACACAAAGCCCTGGCAGGGGAAGCCCCAGAGTGGCTCCATCCTGGTTCCTCTCTATCCAAACAAGCTTCCCCTAATAACACCCATGCTGCTTTCGTCCCTCTCTGATCATCCCAATTACTGTTTGCATCCAGCCTCACTCTGGCACAGTGATTTGCAAACATCTGATTCACACAGGCCAGTTCTAATAAGTACCACATCTGGAAGGGAAGAGGAGCTGCTGTTTGCTCCCACAGTAAGCACCATGTCCAGCCAGAGTAAAGGCAAAACGCTGCATGGCTCTCAATCAGGGTGATCAGGACGGGCCCCAAGTGGTGTAAAAAGGTTGCAGTGATCAGCATAGAGGGTAAAGGAGCCATGAGAAAACACTTGGGTGGCAGAGTAAGCAAGTCAGATGTTCCTGCTTCCCCTCACCCAGCAATCTTTCTCCTTTTCCCCTACACACCAAGCATTTCACACAAATATCGTTACCTGATTTACTTCCAGAGACAGCAAGTGGCTTCTTAAGTTCTGACTTCAGCTTAGATGCCAGAACAAACCTCCTAAACCATTCCTCCTTTTCTCGTCCTGTTCTCCCAAAGAGGTACAATATTTGATCTCGCTGACCAGCTCTTGTTCCCTCTGGAGGTTGCAGTGGCTTCTTGGGGTCCTCGTTGGCCAGCTCCCTCTCAGCTGCTGGCTTTTCTTCACAAGTTTCCTTATCTGTCTGAGCCTTTGACATAAAGTCATCTTGTTGCCCAAGCTCAATGCAAATGGGATACTTTTTATTCCAGATGCGTTTCCGAGCCAAACTTTTAGGTACAAGATAAATCTGCAGCGAAAGGGAAATGGTGATGTACAGATATCAATAAAGACTGTCTTCATTGTGCATTAATATTACAAAGAGCATAAACACAAACTTTATGGAATATCTGACTAAAAAAGATGACTGAAATAACTTTTACCACTCATCCTTGCCTGTAAAAACTGGAACAAATTTTTAGAAATGAAAACTTGTTCTTTAAAATCATTTCATAAAGTACATGCTTAAGAGTTCTGTGAGAGTTAGAAATATCTAATTTTCACCAAGCTGCAGCACAGTAATAATGCTTTGTTGGCTATCATTCACTCAGTTTCCAGATCAAGAGTTTACTGGTCCCGAGTCAAACTTTTGAGTCATGAAAAAACGAGAACTGGTTAATCTAGATGGGAAACTCAAGTCCACTCTGAGTATTAGCTGCAAGTGCAAAGGACCTACAGCTTTGTGAAATAACAGGTAACTGCATTTCTAACAAAATAGAAGTAGATAACATTTTACAAAAAGTTATTTTCAATATCCATAATCTTCACACTGACAAAGGCTTCAATTCATTAGTACCCCTCTTATAGCTCTCATGAAGTTTGAAGTCAAAATTCAGAGTGCCCAATGTCTCTGCTCCTCCAGATATGGTCCCTGGAGCAGCAGGAGTCTCCCCTGGGAACCCACCTTCAGGTCCGCCCAAAGCTTACTGATTCAGAATCTGCGCTAGCGAGGATTTTAATTAATGCACACATTAACATTTAAGAAGTATTGCCCTAAAACACACTAATGCTTATACAACAAAAGGATCTTTTTAGGGGGAAAATGCAGTGAAACAGGCAAGATTCCAAATGTTAGTCCTTCATTTGAGGCAGCCCTCCTTCTGAATCGAAGTACTTGGACTCACCTTGCTGTCCGAAAGGTCATAGATTTTCTGGCTGATGTAGGTGACCTCTGGCTTTGTTTCATTGTAGCTCGCCCTCCTGGATATGTTTTTATTGGGCTTTGAAAGTCTTAAGGTTTCACCCTCAAGTCGAACATAGACTGAATGCGTCAAAGTCGCATGGTAAGTTTCTGGATCATAGTTGTAAATCTCATTCATCCATCCCTGATGAAGAAAGACCCTGGTTAGTAAAAATAAAATAAACACAAATCTGATTAAGTGTGAAAATGAACACTGGTATTTAGGACATTAAAACCACACTAGGCTTTGATACTGGTGTCAATCTGTTGATGGCAAAGGGTCACTGAGATGAGCTGGAAGGAAAACTGGTACTGAGCAGCAACCTGCTACGGTATCCGATAACATCTGGATTTGGGGAGAAAAGGGTCATGCCCATTATCCAAATTTTTTTCCCTTTTTGATTTATCTATCCATCTGAAAGTAAGAATTGGAGGGAAGGAGGGAGGGAGGGAGGCAGAAAGAGAGAGAGAGAGAGAGAGAAAGAGATTGAAAGAGCTCTTCCTTCGTGGGGGACTTCCCAAACTAGACCGCTTAACACAAACACTAGCCAAATGGAAAATCACAACATATGTGGTTCAACCTCTATTGGGACTGGGCCTCCTCAGTTGCCCAGATGCACAAGGCAGAAGTCAAAGCCAGCTCATCTAGTTCAGCAGAGGATACCGAGTGCCTCATCAGAGGATGGAAAGCACAACAGGTTAGACTACTCTCCTGGCAAGCTTTGCAGAAAATGTCTGGGTTTATGGATGTGCTAATGTAGATTGGTCCAGAACTTGGAAATATTTTCTCGACCCTTTTGCAATGAAGCCAACAACATCTCAGCACTATCAAAACTACTGAAATAATACATTTGGAATACTCTTCCATACATCAGGGTTTCTAAGGCTTCATCACATGACCGCCTCCCATCCCCAGGTGCTGATACAGTTTGACAGCAAGGAGCAAAACCTTCCCTTCCCCCCAGTGGACACTGGAGATAAAAAAAGAAAGCAAACATTTGTTCCACCTAACTTCCTCCATACTCCAACCCTCCCCACCCTAATCAGAGGCCTAAATGGGCATGCATCCCTCTCAGCTATGTAAAGAAAATTAAAAATTAAACTAAACAAACAAACAAACAAAAAGCTTCCATCTGTTGGTCTGTTTCCCAGATGGCCACAACAGTCAGTGTTGAGTCAGGGCAAAGCCAGCGGTCAGGTGCTTCAATCTGGTCTTCCATTCACCTTGCATGCACCAGGATCCCATACGGGCACTGGTTTGTGTTCTGACTGCTCCACTTCCCGTCCAGCTCCCTATTTGTGGCCTGGAAAAGCAGCAGAGGATGGCCCACAGCCTTTAGACCCTAAACACTTGTGTGGAAAACACAAAAGAAGCTCTTGGCTTCAGATCAGCTCAGCTCCAGCTGTTGTGGCCACTTGGAGAATAAATCAGCAGATGGAAAATCTTCCTGTCTTTCCTTCTCTGTAAATCTGCTTTTCCAATAAAAAATAAATAAAACTTTTTAAAAAAGTCTAAAAAATAAATTGTCACTCCTCTCATTTTATAAATGTCTTGTGATGAGCAGATAATTGCTAAAAACAACTACACTGGAGTCAGGACTGCTAATCTTTTTTCTTTTTTCCTTTTTTTTTTTAATAAAAACTTATTTATTTTTATTGGAAAGGCAGAAATACAGAGGAAGACAGACAGAGAGGAAGATCTTCCATCCATTCACTCCCCAAGCAGCTGCAACAGCCGGAGCTGAGCCAATCCAAAGCCAGGAGCCAGAAGCCTCTTCCGGGTCGCCCATGCGGGTGCAGGGTCCCAAGGCTTTGGGTCATCCTCAACTGCATTCCCAGGCCACAGGCAGAGAGCTGGATGGGAAGCAGGTCGGCCTGGATTAGAACCGGCAACCATATGGGATCCTGGTGTGTTCAAGGTGAGGACTTTAACCTCTATGCTATCGCGCCAGGCCCAACTGTCAATCTTTTTCGAGGATTAGCCATGTCCATGGTGGACAAGTGAGTCCCACTCAAGATTGAACTGAAGGCCTCTGAGACTGACGAATCCTCAGAACTCCCTTTTACTCATTTTCCATCCTTCGAAGCAGGACTGCTTCTCCCTGAATGCCAAGTAACAGGTCAGGAGTAGATACAAAGGTTTGTTTAAAAAACAGAAATCTTTAATCAGGGGTGCTCTCCCATAAAGTTGAAAATTATGTCTTTGTCATACCATCCTTCAACTCTTCCATAGTAACAATCAAAAGTTATCACAAGGAACCTGTGTCATGGCATAACAGGTCAGCCTACTATAGGAAGACATTGGGAATTTTTGCCAGTGTGGAACCAGAGCTATTCACAGGGCCATCAGGAGGGCTCTGGTGCAGTTGATATGGAAATGAATTGACAAGAAACTCCCCAGGAAGCAGGTTTAGGTAACAGATCAAAGAGAGGTGCTTCCTCCCCTAGGCAGGGGAACAGGAATTAACAGACTGAGGATTAGGGACCTGCTAGAAGAACAAATTGTGTATTAGGGGACTATCTCTTGCTGTTGAAATGTAAATGTAAATTCCTCAACTCCCTGATGCACTGGGTGCTGGTTCTAATCTCGACAGCCCAGCTTGTGGCCCGGGAAAGCAGTCGAGGACGGCCCAAAGCTTTGGGAACCTGCACCCCTGTGGGAGACCCAGAAGAAGCTCCTGGCTCCTGGCTTTGGATTGTCTCAGCTCCAGCCATTGCGGTCACTTGGGGAGTAAACCACTGCACAGGAGATCCTCCTCTCAGTATATCTGCCTTTCCAATAAAAATAAATAAATCTTTTTTTTTAAAAAAAAGAATGGAACTGTTTTTTTTGTTTTTAAAGAAAGAAAAAAAAAGTCTGATGCAGGTAATAAACTTCGGCTACTGACCATCAGGTGTTCTTTATCAGGCTCCGTGTACCAAGTCCATCACAGCTGGACGGCAAACAGCCCAACCACCTGAGAAGCTGTCATCACAGATAAGCACCAGCTCATGTCCCCAGCATCTCTTCCTCTAATCCAGCTCCCTACTGATGTGCTTGGGAAAGCAGCAGAAGATGACCCAAGGACTTGGGCTCCTGCACCCACATGAAAGACACAGATAAAGCTCTTGGCTTGGAACTGGCCCAACCTCAGCCAATGTGGCCATTTGGAGAGTGAACCAGTGAACTGAAGATCTCTACCTTTCCCTCTCTTTTTGTAACTGTCTTTCAAACACATACACACATACATACATACATCTTTAGAAGTTGCCCCAGGGTGGGAGTCTGGCACAGTGGGTAAGATGCCACCTGGCATGACTGCATCCCATAATCTCAATGCCGGGTTTGACTCCTGCCACCCACTTCCTGCTAATGCAGACCCTGAGGGTCAGCAAATGATGGCTGAAGTGGCTGGAACCTTGCTACCCATTGTGGGAGACCTGAAGCTCCAGATTTTGTCTTTGGTCCAACCCAGGCCCAGTTGTCATGGATATGTTGGGAGTTAGCTGGAAGACAGGAGATCTCCTTGTGTCTGATTTTCAAACTTAAAAAATATTATCATAAGAAAAAGTATGTGGACTAAAATGGCTCAACACACCTCTTTGTCATGCATGAGGAGTACAAAATTCACACATCAATGACATAGATTTACATGCCTCTAAGTTTTTTGAACAGGCTGTGAGGATCTTTCCTCCTCTCAATGAGTCACGGACTCAGGAACAGCATTTATTAAAAAATTAATGAACAAGCAAGCAGTGCTGAAAGGAATGGGGTGTGCCACAGGTGTTTGTACAGCAGCAACAACAACAAAAAAAACCAAGCAATAAAACAAAACAGAGGACAGACTATGGAGAGCACTTCAGTGGGACTGAAGTGGCCTGGACCATTAAGAATCAGTTTAAGATATGTATTTTGCTAAGTATAGGACACAGTTAATTTTTTGATTCACAGCTTTATTGTTCTAAATATTTAATTATTTATTTGAAGGGAATTACACACAGAAAAAAAGAGAGAGATCTCCCCCTCATTGTTTACTACCTAAATGGCTGCAACAATCCAAGCTGGGCCAGGGCAAAGCCAGAAACCTAAAACGCTCAGTCTCCCACACGGATGGCAGTGGCCCAAGCACTCAGGCCCTCTGCCACTGCTTTCTCAAGCACATGAGCAGGGAGCTGGACTGGCACTGGCGTAACCGAGACTCATGCTGGCACCTACACTGGATGCCAGCATTGCAGGACGTGGCATAAGCTGGTGCACCACAAAATCAGCCCCTGGTACATAACTTTTACCTTTTTCTTTAGTCTGCTACCATGCTAAGTTACTATGGTAAGCAATTTGCACATGTTATTTGGTCCTGCAATGTCAGGATAAACAATGTGTTCAGTATGATGTGCTCAAGTGGGACTGTGCCTGCCCTGAGGGCGGATTCCCAGATCCTTGTTCAATGAGTTCATAATGCTAGCTTTCAACTGGTCTTGGCGGGATTTTTTAAAATGTTTTTTCCCCCTAAACATTTATTTTCATCTACTTGCATGGCAGAGTGACAGAAAAATAGAAGAGACAGAACTTCTATCTGCTGGTTCAGTTCCGAAACGCCCCCTATAACTAGGGCTGGGCCAGACTGAAGACAGGAGCCTGGCACTCCATGTGAGCCACCCACATGGGTGGCAGGTCCATGGAACTGAGCCATCAGCTGCTACTTCCCAGGACACTGGGACAGAAGACAAGGAGCCTGGACTTGAACCAGCACTCTGCTTACCCTGCTGTGCCACCACACCTGCTCTGGCGGGAATTCCACTGCTTTTGCAAGCCATAAGTAGGAAGCTGGATCAGAAGTGGAGCAGCTAGGATACAAACAAGTACCCACATCAAAGTGGAGAATTAGCCTGTTGAGCTATGATGTTAGACCCCAACACTTCTTTAAAGGTTTTGTAAAATTTGTTGATAAGGCAATCTGGGTCTAGAGTTTTCCCTGTTTTCAAAGGTTTTAATCATGAATTCAAGTTCTTCTACTGCTACTGGGATATTCAATTGTATATTTCTTTATGAGTGAAGTTTTGTTTCTTTCAAGTAATTTATTTCTCATAAGTATACAATTTTTGCACATAACATTATTCCCAATATTTTCCTGTACTCCTTTAAAAAAAGGATTTATTTTTATTTGA